TATCAAATCCCAAAAATCCCCCAAAAATGGAGGGATTCGGGAATGGGAATTTTCCCAGAGATTCTTTGGGATCAAATCCCAAAACCAAAAAAAAAGTTTTGGGGATCAAATCCCCAAGATCTCACATTTGGAGGCATTTGGGAATGGGAATTTTCCTGGAAATTCTTTGGGATCAAATCCCAACCCCCCCCCAAAATTCCCAAATTTTGGAATTCCCAAATCCCCCCCATATGGGATTCTCCCAAAATTTTCCACTTCCAGAGGCTCCCAAACCCTCCATTCCCAAACGATCCCGACCATCCCCGAAAAGTTTGGGGAATTCCATCCCAGAATTCCCATTCCTTGCATTTTCCCAGGAAATTCCCAAATTCGGGAATTCCCAAACACCCAAATCCCCAAAATTTTTGCTGGAACTTCCAGAGGCTCCCAAATCCCCCATTCCCAAACGATTCTGAACGTCCCAAAAAGTTGGGAATTCCATCCCAGAATTCCCATTCCTTCCATTTCCCCAGGAAATTCCCAAATTTGGGAATTCCAAAATCGAGGGATCCTCCCAAAATTTTCCTCTTCCAGAGGCTCCCAAATCCCCCATTCCCAAACGATCCCGACCATCCTCGAAAAGTTGGGAATTCCATCCCAGAATTCCCATTCCTTGCATTTTCCCAGGAAATTCCCAAATTCGGGAATTCCCAAACACCCAAATCCCCAAAATTTTTGCAGGAACTTCCAGAGGTTCCCAAATGCCCCATTCCCAAAGAATCCCGACCATCCCAAAAAGTGGGAATTCCATCCAAGAATTCCCATTCCTTGCGTTTTTCCAGGGAACCCCCAAATTCCAGCTTCTCCCAAAATTTTCCACTTCCAGAAGTCCCCAAATCCCCCGTTCCCAAACGATCCCAACCATCCCCTGAAATGTTTGGGGAATTCCATCCATCCCGGAATTCCCATTCCTTGCATTTTTCCAGGAAATTCCCAAAGTTGGGAATTCCAAAATCGAGGGATCCTCCCAAAATTTTCCACTTCCAGAGGCTCCCAAATCCCTCATTCCCAAACGATCCAGACCATCTCAAAAAGCAGGAATTCCATCCCAGAATTCCCATTCCTTGCATTTTTCCTGGGAATTCCCAAATTTGGGATCCTCCCAAAATTTTCCACTTCCCGAGGCTCCCAAATCCCCCATTCCCAAACGATCCCGACCATCCTCGAAAAGTGGGAATTCCATCCCAGAATTCCCATTCCTTGCGTTTTCCCAGGAAATTCCCCAATTCGGGAATTCCCAAATCGAGGGATCCTCCCAAAATTTTCCACTTCCCGAGGCTCCCAAATCCCCCATTCCCAAACGATCCCGACCATCCCCGAAAAGTTTGGGGAATTCCATCCCAGAATTCCCATTCCTTGCATTTTCCCAGGAAATTCCCGAATCTGGGAATTCCCAAATCGAGGGATCCTCCCAAAATTTTCCACTTCCCGAGGCTCCCAAACCCCCCATTCCCAAACGATCCCGACCAACCCCGGAAACGTTCGGGCGATTCCACCCATCCCGGAATTCCCCATTTTTCCCAGGCCTGCGCGGGATCGTGCCGGGCCCAGCTTTCCTTGGAATCTCCCGTTTTTCCCGGGAACGGCCAATTCCAGCCTCTCTCCGAGAGCCTCCGCCGTTACGTCATGAGCCACTTCCGGTGGAACCAGTTCGGCCGGAAAAATGGCAGCGACGCCGGCGCCGGGAAACGGGAAGAGGGAACCGGGAACGATCCCGGAATTCCCTTTTCCCACCGTCGGGAAGAGGCGGGAAAAGACGGGAAGCGCTCGTATTCCATGGAGCACTTCCGGTGGGGAAAACCCGTGGGGCGCAAGAGGAGGCCGGTCAAGGTTTATCCCAACGGAGCCGAGGAGGAATCGGCCGAGAATTCCCAGTTGGAATTCCGGCGGGAAGAGCCGTGGGATGAAGAGGAGGAAGAGGAGGAGGAGGAGGAATTCCCGAAATTCCCGTGGAATTCCCGGAAGGAGAAACGTTACGGGGGTTTCATGAGCCCGGAGAGGATCCGGACGCCGCTGGTGACGCTCTTCAAAAACGCCATCGGGAAAAGCTTTTCCAAGGATGGGCAGTGATTGGGAAAAAAAACCCAAAAACCGGGAAAATCCCGGAAAAAACGGGAAAATCCCAAGGGATTCGAGCCCCTCTGTAGTGTCCCCTTAGCGCTTAATCCTTCCTAATTAAAAAAATTAAAAAAATAAATGAATTTTAAAAAAATCCCCCGGATTCCGGGTGGGAACGAAGGGGGAATTCGGCAGTTGGGAATTCTTGGAGAGGGTGGGAATTCTTGGAATGGCGGGATCCTGTGAAAGATTGTAAAAGGAGGGATGGGAAATTCCCAAAGAAATTCAAAAAAATGGTGGATGAGAGAGTTTGGGAAAAGCGGCGACAACGGGGGAAAAAACGGGAATTGGGGATGAATCCAAAGGTTGGGAATGGGTGGGGGGGGGCGAATATTTGGGATGAGGGGATTCCAGTTTGGGAATTCTGGGAAAAAAACTGGGAAGTTTTCCATGGGGAAACCAGGGTGGAGGGGAGGGCACAGGGAATGGATTCCCATGGGAAAAGGGGGGATTGGGGTGGAATTTTGGGATAGAATTCCAAAAAATAATTCCCAGAGAATCCCTGGATCCCTGGGAGTATCCAAGGAAATCCTGGGGCACCATGGGATTGGAATGGGATGGGATTTAAAATGCATGGATCCCATCAATGGAATTCCGGGATTCTGGGATCCAGGACACTCCGGGATCCATCCCGAGGGATTTTTATGGAATTTGGGGATGGAAAAGGGAAGGGAGACCCTTCCTGGAGTCCCCAATTTCCAGTGAAGCCCCTGGATCCTGAAATTCCTTCCCAGAGAGGAATCGGGATGGGGATGGATCCAATCCCAGAGCTGGGAATGGAGGGAATTCTCTGAGAAAAGGGGAAATGCGATTTGGGAAGGAATTCTCGGCTGGGCTGGAATTCCCAGAAAATCCCTGGGAGTGTCCAAGGAAAGTTTGGGATGTGTCCCTGCCCATGGATGGGATTTCAGGTCCCTTCCCACCCAAACCCTTCTGGGATCCCTCCCGATCCAAAGTCCCCTTGGAAAAGCGCTGGAGCCCCTCCCGTTATCCCAGGAAAAATCCGGGCTGGGAATGGGGAATCCGGCTTTGGAATTCCACTGTTTCTATTGGAGCCGATCCCAGCTCTGGGAATGCCCCAGCTCCACAAATTCCATGGGCACCATTCCCAGTGCCGCCAATCCCGATCCTAATCCCAATCCTGATCCCGGTTCTGATTCCAATCCTGATCCAGAGTGTGATCCCAATCCCAATTCTGATTCCTATCTCAATTCCAATCCTAATCCTAATCCTAATCCTAATCCTTATCCCAAATCCCATTCCTTATCCCCAATCTCGATCCAAATCCCAATCTGGATTCCATGATCAATCCAGTTTCCAATCCCAATCCCAATGCTGACCCCAAACCCAACCCTGATCCTGATCTCGATTCCAATCCCAATCCCAGTCCCAATCCCGATCCTGATTCTGATCTTGGTCAAATCCCAATCTCAATCCCAATCCTGATCCCGATCCCAATCCAAATCCCATCCCTAATCCTGATTCTGATCTCGACCCTGATCCTGACTCCAATCCCTATCTGGGTCCTGTTCCGGGTGACAATCCCAATCCAGATCCCGATCCTGATCCCAATTTCGATCCCAAATCCAATCCCAATCGCGATCCTGATCCCAATCCTGATTCTGATCCCAATCCTTATCCTGATCCTGATCCCAATCCCAATCCCAATACAGACCCTGATCCTGATCCCAATCCCAATCCTAATCCCAATTCTGATCCCAATTCCAATCCAGACCTCGATCCTGATCCCAATTCTAACTCCAACTGCAATTCCAAAACCAAACCCTATCCCTATCCCAATCCTGATAATGATCCCAATCCCAGTCTCAATCCAGACCCAGATCCCGAATCTGATCCATATCCCAATCCTGATCCAGTTTCCAATCCCAATCCCAATTTTGATCCAAATCTCAAACCAGATCAAAATCCTGATCCTATTCGTTGATGCCAATCCCAATTCAGATCTTGAGCCTGATCCTAGTTCCAAACCCAAACCCAATCCCTATCCCAATCTTGATCCTGATCTAGACCCCAATCCTTATCCCAATCTCGATCCAGATCCTGATTCTGATCCATATCCCAATCCCAGTCTCAATCCTGATCCCAATCTCAGTCTAGATCCCAATTCCAATCCCAATCCTGATCCTGGTCATAATCATGACCCCAATCCCAATTCTGATCCTGATCCCGATCCCAGTCCCAATCCC